TAGAAACTTGAGTTAAACCTCCTCTTACACCATTTTCGATAAATAATATCATGTCAATATCTGTTAAAAGTTCAAAATTTACATTGGTGTATTTGAGCATAGCATCCCAGGAAAACCCTGGCAAAGTAAAATAATGAAGTGGGTCTAAGTCATATGTTTCCATACAAAATTTTCTGAATTTTTCAAAGATATCTGTTAATAACATAATATCAGTTTTTAAATACAAGTCAGAATATTCACCTAAATTTTTGATGTGAAACTAATTCCAAATTTTTATAGCATGATTGTAATCTTTATCACTAATATGCGATTTGTTTAATTCATTATAAAAAAAATGTTTTTCAGGTAATGATGAAATTAAAAATTTTTCATGATTATCTAAATAATCATAAGGGTAAATTCTTTTTTGCTAAGCAATGAATATTGATTTTCTATTATGTTTTCAAATTGATCTTTTAAATTTGGAAAATCGCCTAAATTTTTTGCTAGACTATCTAAACTACTTCCCAAAAATTTAAATGAATCTATAAATCTAAATTTTATATCACTATTATCAATATATTTCGTGAAACTAATATATTTCTCTTTATTTATAGGAAGTAAATCTATTTTACCTGATATAACTGAGTTTAATTCCTTTATAATAAAATGTGAATCATAGCCGCTTAGGTTATGAAATACTACAGGAACATAGAAAGAATTTTTATAATTTATGTTGCAGTTTTGATGAGCAGCTCCTCGATATTCACCATTTAAATGATCATGATCCTTACATTTAATATTTTTTTCTGTAAATGGTTGATCACAAATAAAACAAATCTGAGCCTCTTCAAATTGGTAATTTTGTTCTTTAGTGAGAGCTTTCATTTTTACAGGTGATTTTAGATGGTGATACAGGTGATTCTAATAGGTTAGCAATTTCCTTAAGTTCATTTAAAAACCAATTGATGCAATTTTCACCTCGTAAGAAACGGTATTTTGTATTCGTTATATATGTTGATTTTAAATAATATCCAATAGAAGATGGTTCATGTTCTTGAAAAATATTATTATTAATATTATTTGGATTATTTTTCTTTAAAATGCATTCAATATCCGCATATATAACGCACGGTAACATAATTTTATTTTTAAAGTTACTAAATTTTAGAATATTATTTTTTTCAGTTGGTAATGTAATTGCAGACTTATTAATTTTATTGCAATAAAATGAATGATTATTTAATTTTTCATTTGTATCAAAATAATTAAGGCATCTTTCACAAAAATATTTTTTATGACCTTTTTTATTAATATCTTGCGAAAGTAATCTTGATAAATCTTTAATTAAAACGTAATGATATTAATCTCTACATCATTATCATTAATATTTGATTCAGAATGACAGTTAATTTTTTGTTTCTGTTCATATATATTTTGTATTAATAATAAGTTAGCATGTATTTCACTTTTTCCTTTTGTTAAGTATAAGGGCACAACCTTATATTGATTTTTTTTGATTAATTCTAGTCCAAAAACATTTACACTAATTTTATTTAATTTTTCAAACTTGGAAATATCTTTAATTAATACGGGAAACTTAATTCCATTGAAATTAAGTATATCCTCATAGTTTGGATAACTTGATCTGCGGTCTGAATGATGTTGCGAAGGATAAAGTAACCCCATTATACTCCACGCAAAGCATGCATTATCAGAATTTTTAATATTTATGCAAGCATGTTTTTTTTAATAGATTGGGGTAAATCTATATATGACGAACCTGCCACAAATGCAGTATATGAATTTATATTAACAACTAAATTTATTATTGATGATAAGGCCCAACCGCTGCCTTTTTCCTGAAAATCATCAAATTTAGTTAAAAGTTCAGCGATTGTTCTTCCACACCAATCATCACTTTGATCCCTGAGCACAACCGAATTTTCAGTACTTAAATATTTTAAATCATACACATTATCAATATCATTATTTAAATTTGGTAATACAAATTCGCCGCAAAATGTTAAATTTATTTTTAATACATTATATGTCAATAATATTTCATTTACTTTACTAGTTATTATTTTTTTACACTTTTCCAGAAATATTTTCGGGTCTACATCATTAATGTTTGTTATTACCCCTGTTTGTATTCTATTTTGGAATGCTGATGTCAAATTTTTCCATTCCAATTCACTATTGTCTTTATTTAATAACTGAAATTTAATTTTAGTTTTATATGACTCTAAACTAGAGATCACTGTACTTATGCAAGATTTGGTTCCGATATTTGATAATTTATTATCGCGCAATAATTGATTTAAATATAGTAAGTCTTTCAATATTATCATTAAATTTTCTTTTAATTTTTTTTCACTCGCGTTCTTTTCATTTTTAAGAGAAAGCCGTATATGCTTTCTTAAAATAATTTTTGATATGTCCGTCATTGTAAAAATTATTTTTATTTTAATACGCAACTTAACCGTCCAATAAAAATTTTAAAACTAATTTCAATTTTAACAATTTGTTTTTTAAATTTGTTGTTTTTTTAATTAAAATTATCAGTAAGTTTTAATTGTTTAACATGATAAAAAAAAAAAATTCTATATCCTTTGTACTGGTTCTACTACCTGAAAATTAAAATATCTGAAAATTAAAATACCTGAAAATGAAAATATTTGTGAAAAAAAAAAATAACTAATAATTATTTATATTTTACTTTATTTTTAATAAATATAACTAGTACACTCTTTGTACTGGTTCTACTACCTGAAAATTAAAATATCTGAAAATTAAAATACCTGAAAATGAAAAAATTGTGAAAAAAAAATAGCTAATAATTATTTATATTTTACTTTATTTTATTGATTTTTTTTTTTTGACAATATTATTGGTTGTCAGCCAATTTTTCTTGTGAGAAAATGTCTTCTCTTACCAATTTGCATTTGCCTTTTTGATGGCATATCATTACTATATCCGATTCTACGTTGACCTTGCTAATTTGTTCATCTGTTAAGAAGTCTTTCATAAATTCCGGTAGGAAAAATACCGTATTTTCGAATTCCAGCATCAGTCGCTGGCCATACACGGTATTTTTCCTTTCAATTTTATTTACTTGGTAATATTTGTTCAATACTATGTCTCCCACTCTTAAGGCTCTCTTCATCACGTTCCGCCTTATGACCTTTTCATTGACGGTATCTAAAATACCATCAATATTTTCTTCACTTCGTCTTCTTTTACGGTTGTTGCCGTTGTTGTTGTTATTGTTGTAGTTGCTTTTGCTGTTGATTTTGCTGTTGTTGTTGTTGTAGTTGCTTTTGCTGTTGATTTTGCTGTTGTTGTTACTAGTTACCCTACTACTACTGGTGCCAGTAATAGCATAATCAAATGCTGATGGTGGTAGCGGATCCAGGATGATTGAATCTATTATTTCTACTTCGCTAGTCATTTTGAATTATTTTAATTATTTTAATTAATTAATTATAATTTTAGTTTTATATGACTCTAAACTAGAGATCACTGTACTTATGCAAGATTTGGTTCCGATATTTGATAATTTATTATCGCGCAATAATTGATTTAAATATAGTAAGTCTTTCAATATTATCATTAAATTTTCTTTTAATTTTTTTTCACTCGCGTTCTTTTCATTTTTAAGAGAAAGCCGTATATGCTTTCTTAAAATAATTTTTGATATGTCCGCCATTGTAAAAATTATTTTTATTTTAATACGCAACTTAACCGTCCAATAAAAATTTTAAAACTAATTTCAATTTTAACAATTTGTTTTTTAAATTTGTTGTTTTTTTAATTAAAATTATCAGTAAGTTTTAATTGTTTAACATGATAAAAAAAAAAAAAATTCTATATCCTTTGTACTGGTTCTACTACCTGAAAATTAACATATCTGAAAATTAAAATACCTGAAAATGAAAATATTTGTGAAAAAAAAAATAACTAATAATTATTTATATTTTACTTTATTTTTAATAAATATAACTAGTACACTCTTTGTACTGGTTCTACTACCTGAAAATTAAAATATCTGAAAATTAAAATACCTGAAAATGAAAATAATTGTGAAAAAAAAATAGCTAATAATTATTTATATTTTACTTTATTTTATTGATTTTTTTTTTTGACAATATTATTGGTTGTCAGCCAATTTTTCTTGTGAGAAAATGTCTTCTCTTACCAATTTGCATTTGCCTTTTTGATGGCATATCATTACTATATCCGATTCTACGTTGATCTTGCTAATTTGTTCATCTGTTAAGAAGTCTTTCATAAATTCCGGTAGGAAAAATACCGTATTTTCGAATTCCAGCATCAGTCGCTGGCCATACACGGTATTTTTCCTTTCAATTTTATTTACTTGGTAATATTTGTTCAATACTATGTCTCCCACTCTTAAGGCTCTCTTCATCACGTTCCGCCTTATGACCTTTTCATTGAAGGTATCTAAAATACCATCAATATTTTCTTCACTTCGTCTTCTTTTACGGTTGTTGCCGTTGTTGTTGTTGTTGTTGTAGTTGCTTTTGCTGTTGATTTTGCTTTTGTTGTTGTTGTAGTTGCTTTTGCTGTTGATTTTGCTGTTGTTGTTACTAGTTACTCTACTGCTACTGGTGCCAGTAATAGCATAATCAAATGCTGATGGTGGTAGCGGATTCAGGATGATTGAATCTATTATTTCTACTTCGCTGGTCATTTTGAATTATTTTAATTATTTTAATTAATTAATTATAAGTACTATTTCTTTAAAGTAGTTTATTAAACTGAATAATAATTTCAAACGACGGTCCTTTTTATTTCAAAAATTACATTTGCGTAGGCGTGGGTTCCATCAATACAAAATTGCAATTCTTCTAACAGTTAGGTCTGAAATTACTGATAATTATATAAACTCTAAAACACACAAAACCAGTAAATGAATAATTTAATTTTCTTATTCTAAAACTCTTCTTATTCTAAAACTTTTCATATTCTATAATATAAACCCAAAACACACAAAACTATGATGTTTGCGGTTTTATAGTACCTAAATTTGATAAATGAATAATTTAATTTTCTTATTCTTAATCTCAAATCACACAAAAAAAATATGAAAATAAGCAAAGCAAAGGAATTCCCTATTAAAATAAACAAAGCAAAGCAAAGGAATTCCCTAGCGTGGGTTCCATCAATACAAAATTGTAATTCTTCTAACAGTTAGGTCTGAAATTACTGATAAAGTTTTATATAAACTCTAAAACACACAAAACTAGCCTATACTTTTATTTTTTTATTCAAGAAGCAAAGCAAAGGAATTCCCTATTGTGACGTCATTCTCATTCTTTCATAATAACAAAATCTTGCTTTTATTTTTTATTCAAGAAAGAATCTCTGACCTCACTTTCACTGAAAGTGAAAATTTCTAGAATAAGACTGTCAGTATCAGTATACAAAAGATTACAATTTTGTTTCAATTTGTTTTTCATGTAATCATAAAAAAATTCATATATTGATATTTTCGCTATATCTAATATTGCCATACCCACATATATAGGTTTGTTAAAATAAATTTCATTTCTATATAATTCTATGGCAACTAAGTTTTCATTAAAAATAGCAGAGCTTTTAAAATAAGGTGACGCAATTAATGCGTTAACCCCATAACGACCATGCCAGTAAGTTTTAAGTTTTATGTTGCAGTGTTTTCTCACGTTTTCTATCGTTTTGCCAAATATTGCATTATTTATTAATTTAAAAAGTTCTTTTGAAAAATTGTCTTTCGATTGTGCCCGTAATTTAGTATTCAACTCTATATATGGTCGCAGAAAATCTGATTGAATAAATTTTAAAATTTTATGAATTTTTGTTACTTCAAGACCATTTTTTAAAGCTAATTTTAAACTTCTATAATGAAGAACATATCTATCTTTATTGTACAAGGTAGCAACTATTTTTTTTTCATTTGAATCTGTTAATAAATGTTCTGGACAGAAAGGGAGATCTCTATGAATATCGTGAAGTTGTGTAGGATAATTTAAATCCACCTCAAAGATATAACCAATACCATTTTTATCAGAAATGTTTAATATAAAATCTTTATCAAATTTATTTATTTCAGTTTCCCATTGAAAACTTTTTAATGGTAAATACTGACTCATACTCCACCCATATTGATTATTAACATCAAAATACATTAAATATTGAGATTGTAATGAAGAATCAAAGTCGTTCATGTATTTATTATTTGCTTTTGAATAGCGTTTAGAAACTTGAGTTAAACCTCCTCTTACACCATTTTCGATAAATAATATCATGTCAATATCTGTTAAAAGTTCAAAATTTACATTGGTGTATTTGAGCATAGCATCCCAGGAAAACCCTGGCAAAGTAAAATAATGAAGTGGGTCTAAGTCATATGTTTCCATACAAAATTTTCTGAATTTTTCAAAGATATCTGTTAATAACATAATATCAGTTTTTAAATACAAGTCAGAATATTCACCTAAATTTTTGATGTGAAACTAATTCCAAATTTTTATAGCATGATTGTAATCTTCATCACTAATATGCGATTTATTTAATTCATTATAAAAAAAATGTTTTTCAGGTAATGATGAAATTAAAAATTTTTCATGATTATCTAAATAATCATAAGGGTAAATTCTTTTTTGCTAAGCAATGAATATTGATTTTCTATTATGTTTTCAAATTGATCTTTTAAATTTGGAAAATCGCCTAAATTTTTTGCTAGACTATCTAAACTACTTCCCAAAAATTTAAATGAATCTATAAATCTAAATTTTATACCACTATTATCAATATATTTCGTGAAACTAATATATTTCTCTTTATTTATAGGAAGTAAATCTATTTTACCTGATATAACTGAGTTTAATTCCTTTATAATAAAATGTGAATCATAGCCGCTTAGGTTATGAAATACTACAGGAACATAGAAAGAATTTTTATAATTTATGTTGCAGTTTTGATGAGCAGCTCCTCGATATTCACCATTTAAATGATCATGATCCTTACATTTAATATTTTTTTCTGTAAATGGTTGATCACAAATAAAACAAATCTGAGCCTCTTCAAATTGGTAATTTTGTTCTTTAGTGAGAGCTTTCATTTTTACAGGTGATTTTAGATGGTGATACAGGTGATTCTAATAGGTTAGCAATTTCCTTAAGTTCATTTAAAAACCAATTGATGCAATTTTCACCTCGTAAGAAACGGTATTTTGTATTCGTTATATATGTTGATTTTAAATAATATCCAATAGAAGATGGTTCATGTTCTTGAAAAATATTATTATTAATATTATTTGGATTATTTTTCTTTAAAATGCATTCAATATCCGCATATATAACGCACGGTAACATAATTTTATTTTTAAAGTTACTAAATTTTAGAATATTATTTTTTTCAGTTGGTAATGTAATTGCAGACTTATTAATTTTATTGCAATAAAATGAATGATTATTTAATTTTTCATTTGTATCAAAATAATTAAGGCATCTTTCACAAAAATATTTTTTATGACCTTTTTTATTAATATCTTGCGAAAGTAATCTTGATAAATCTTTAATTAAAACGTAATGATATTTAATCTCTACATCATTATCATTAATATTTGATTCAGAATGACAGTTAATTTTTTGTTTCTGTTCATTTATATTTTGTATTAATAATAAGTTAGCATGTATTTCACTTTTTCCTTTTGTTAAGTATAAGGGCACAACCTTATATTGATTTTTTTGATTAATTCTAGTCCAAAAACATTTACACTAATTTTATTTAATTTTTCAAACTTGGAAATATCTTTAATTAATACGGGAAACTTAATTCCATTGAAATTAAGTATATCCTCATAGTTTGGATAACTTGATCTGCGGTCTGAATGATGTTGCGAAGGATAAAGTAACCCCATTATACTCCACGCAAAGCATGCATTATCAGAATTTTTAATATTTATGCAAGCATGTTTTTTTTTAATAGATTGGGGTAAATCTATATATGACGAACCTGCCACAAATGCAGTATATGAATTTATATTAACAACTAAATTTATTATTGATGATAAGGCCCAACCGCTGCCTTTTTCCTGAAAATCATCAAATTTAGTTAAAAGTTCAGCGATTGTTCTTCCACACCAATCATCACTTTGATCCCTGAGCACAACCGAATTTTCAGTACTTAAATATTTTAAATCATACACATTATCAATATCATTATTTAAATTTGGTAATACAAATTCGCCGCAAAATGTTAAATTTATTTTTAATACATTATATGTCAATAATATTTCATTTACTTTACTAGTTATTATTTTTTTACACTTTTCCAGAAATATTTTCGGGTCTACATCATTAATGTTTGTTATTACCCCTGTTTGTATTCTATTTTGGAATGCTGATGTCAAATTTTTCCATTCCAATTCACTATTGTCTTTATTTAATAACTGAAATTTAATTTTAGTTTTATATGACTCTAAACTAGAGATCACTGTACTTATGCAAGATTTGGTTCCGATATTTGATAATTTATTATCGCGCAATAATTGATTTAAATATAGTAAGTCTTTCAATATTATCATTAAATTTTCTTTTAATTTTTTTTCACTCGCGTTCTTTTCATTTTTAAGAGAAAGCCGTATATGCTTTCTTAAAATAATTTTTGATATGTCCGTCATTGTAAAAATTATTTTTATTTAATACGCAACTTAACCGTCCAATAAAAATTTTAAAACTAATTTCAATTTTAACAATTTGTTTTTTAAATTTGTTGTTTTTTTAATTAAAATTATCAGTAAGTTTTAATTGTTTAACATGATAAAAAAAAAAAAATTCTATATCCTTTGTACTGGTTCTACTACCTGAAAATTAAAATATCTGAAAATTAAAATACCTGAAAATGAAAATATTTGTGAAAAAAAAAAATAACTAATAATTATTTACATTTTACTTTATTTTTAATAAATATAACTAGTACACTCTTTGTACTGGTTCTACTACCTGAAAATTAAAATATCTGAAAATTAAAATACCTGAAAATGAAAATAATTGTGAAAAAAAAATAGCTAATAATTATTTATATTTTACTTTATTTTATTGATTTTTTTTTTTTGACAATATTATTGGTTGTCAGCCAATTTTTCTTGTGAGAAAATGTCTTCTCTTACCAATTTGCATTTGCCTTTTTGATGGCATATCATTACTATATCCGATTCTACGTTGATCTTGCTAATTTGTTCATCTGTTAAGAAGTCTTTCATAAATTCCGGTAGGAAAAATACCGTATTTTCGAATTCCAGCATCAGTGGCTGGCCATACACGGTATTTTTCCTTTCAATTTTATTTACTTGGTAATATTTGTTCAATACTATGTCTCCCACTCTTAAGGCTCTCTTCATCACGTTCCGCCTTATGACCTTTTCATTGACGGTATCTAAAATACCATCAATATTTTCTTCACTTCGTCTTCTTTTACGGTTGTTGCCGTTGTTGTTGTTATTGTTGTAGTTGCTTTTGCTGTTGATTTTGCTGTTGTTGTTGTTGTAGTTGCTTTTGCTGTTGATTTTGCTGTTGTTGTTACTAGTTACCCTACTGCTACTGGTGCCAGTAATAGCATAATCAAATGCTGATGGTGGTAGCGGATCCAGGATGATTGAATCTATTATTTCTACTTCGCTGGTCATTTTGAATTATTTTAATTATTTTAATTAATTAATTATAATTTTAGTTTTATATGACTCTAAACTAGAGATCACTGTACTTATGCAAGATTTGGTTCCGATATTTGATAATTTATTATCGCGCAATAATTGATTTAAATATAGTAAGTCTTTCAATATTATCATTAAATTTTCTTTTAATTTTTTTTCACTCGCGTTCTTTTCATTTTTAAGAGAAAGCCGTATATGCTTTCTTAAAATAATTTTTGATATGTCCGCCATTGTAAAAATTATTTTTATTTTAATACGCAACTTAACCGTCCAATAAAAATTTTAAAACTAATTTCAATTTTAACAATTTGTTTTTTAAATTTGTTGTTTTTTTAATTAAAATTATCAGTAAGTTTTAATTGTTTAACATGATAAAAAAAAAAAAATTCTATATCCTTTGTACTGGTTCTACTACCTGAAAATTAAAATATCTGAAAATTAAAATACCTGAAAATGAAAATAATTGTGAAAAAAAATAGCTAATAATTATTTATATTTTACTTTATTTTATTGATTTTTTTTTTGACAATATTATTGGTTGTCAGCCAATTTTTCTTGTGAGAAAATGTCTTCTCTTACCAATTTGCATTTGCCTTTTTGATGGCATATCATTACTATATCCGATTCTACGTTGATCTTGCTAATTTGTTCATCTGTTAAGAAGTCTTTCATAAATTCCGGTAGGAAAAATACCGTATTTTCGAATTCCAGCATCAGTCGCTGGCCATACACGGTATTTTTCCTTTCAATTTTATTTACTTGGTAATATTTGTTCAATACTATGTCTCCCACTCTTAAGGCTCTCTTCATCACGTTCCGCCTTATGACCTTTTCATTGAAGGTATCTAAAATACCATCAATATTTTCTTCACTTCGTCTTCTTTTACGGTTGTTGCCGTTGTTGTTGTTGTTGTTGTAGTTGCTTTTGCTGTTGATTTTGCTGTTGTTGTTGTTGTAGTTGCTTTTGCTGTTGATTTTGCTGTTGTTGTTACTAGTTACCCTACTGCTACTGGTGCCAGTAATAGCATAATCAAATGCTGATGGTGGTAGCGGATCCAGGATGATTGAATCTATTATTTCTACTTCGCTGGTCATTTTGAATTATTTTAATTATTTTAATTAATTAATTATAAGTACTATTTCTTTAAAGTAGTTTATTAAACTGAATAATAATTTCAAACGACGGTCCTTTTTATTTCAAAAATTACATTTGCGTAGGCGTGGGTTCCATCAATACAAAATTGCAATTCTTCTAACAGTTAGGTCTGAAATTACTGATAATTATATAAACTCTAAAACACACAAAACCAGTAAATGAATAATTTAATTTTCTTATTCTAAAACTCTTCTTATTCTAAAACTTTTCATATTCTATAATATAAACCCAAAACACACAAAACTATGATGTTTGCGGTTTTATAGTACCTAAATTTGATAAATGAATAATTTATTTTCTTATTCTTAATCTCAAATCACACAAAAAAAATATGAAAATAAGCAAAGCAAAGGAATTCCCTATTAAAATAAACAAAGCAAAGCAAAGGAATTCCCTAGCGTGGGTTCCATCAATACAAAATTGTAATTCTTCTAACAGTTAGGTCTGAAATTACTGATAAAGTTTTATATAAACTCTAAAACACACAAAACTAGCCTATACTTTTATTTTTTTATTCAAGAAGCAAAGCAAAGGAATTCCCTATTGTGACGTCATTCTCATTCTTTCATAATAACAAAATCTTGCTTTTATTTTTTATTCAAGAAAGAATCTCTGACCTCACTTTCACTGTTCATACAACCAAAATCATGAAATTTTTATTTTCTTATTTTCTTATTCTCAAATCACACAAAAAAAATTCTTATCAAAACAATTAATAAACACACATTATTTTTTTACATTAAAAGCTCTCCAATTTAATTCATACCATAACAATATACACTATGAACATTTCTTATCACCACTATGAAAAATATTAAAACTAATGACTCATTTCCTGGTCTAGAATCGGCCTGGTCTAGGATCGGCCTAGTATACCTACTCATGCAAAGTCTCAAGTACGCTGAACTCGGACAAGTAAACAACTTGCTTTGCAACCTTTGACCTCATTGACCTGGCGGCCACCTCAGCTTCGTACATTCATATGTACATGGGTCATGACACACTCAAACAAGTCATCTACCTATACCAGGAAAAAAACGACCCGTTATACAGGTCACGACACACTTTAGCAAGTCATCTACCTATACCAGGAAATAAGAAAGTGAAAGTGGGTCGTGCGATATGGGCTGATTTTTTCCCATCCCAGAGTGCCAGAATACCTACTCACAGCAACTTGAATTTTTATTTTTTTCATTTTTACCGCATTTGGTGACGCTGGTTTCAGATGATGATTTTGTGCATGAAATTGTGCAAGAAGCAGATGCTCTTGATTTTGGTCCTCCTTTGTAATCCTGATATTTCTTATCTGTTGCTTTATTATCCATTATTTCTTCTTTTTTTTTTCAAATATTTCCAATGTTATTAATTCAATTTTAGGTTTTAAAATGAAGCTAATACCAATAATTTGATTTCATATATGTATATTTGAAAAAAGTGCTTATGTAAGCAATTTATTAATACGAATGAAACCAATACAATTAGAGTAAAGTATAAAAACGTATTTTAAAATATTAAAACTTTCATTCAATCAGCATATTTTTTTATCCGATGATCATCGTTTTCAATAAATAAACATTTTGATGTGAGCAAAATCCATCATGTTGAAACAAGCACCGTTGAAAATTGCTGTTGTGTTGCTGTCTTAATGTTCTTTGTAATGAATATTTCGTTTAAAAAGATTACTAATCCACTTTTTTTTCTCTCCTCCTTTCACGCATATGCATATAAGTTAATCTAACCGTTAGTTAGATTATTGAAAAGGATAAAATTTTATAAGTTAAGATTTTTAAATAAAAAAGATTTAAGATTTTCTTTTCTTAAAAAATTCAACTTTATTGTTTGACTTTCAAAATTATATTAATTTACAAATTTCAAATATTTTTAGATTTGAAAAAGAATGAAAACCTCGCTTGCATTATGTTTCCTTTTTGTTTACACATGATGCTTTATCAGCAATTATAAAAATTTTAAGAAATTAATTTTGTTACAATGTGGCAAACAAATAATATGCATTACGTAATTGTAATTTATGATTTTTGTTATTTTATGGAAAACGTTTATTTTTAAGCTGATACTGTTGATTTTGTTTATTTCGAAATACTTATTGTTGATATGTTTAAATTTGGTTAATTAGAAGAAATGCATTTTGAAGTGTGTACTTGAGAAATGCGTGTTGAAGTTTGTATTGGTTGTTAACTGCTCCACCTTCAAATTCAAATGTCCTCATTTGATGTTTCAGGTTGTAGTCGAAGTATGATTTGCGGATGCATTGCAGTTTCTGGGTTGGCAACTGGTTTAGTTGTTTCATTTTTAGAGATGTTTTTGATTTTGATGGTACGTCGTTTTTTAAATAATACACTGATGATTATGATAGTTAGAATGATAATAATTACTGATATAGACCAAAAGTTGATTGTTTGATTCCATTCGTTTCCTGTTTTAAAAGTTCTATTTGTTTGGTATTATTTATATGAATTTCCTTTAAGAGTTCAAGTGACAAATGTTCATAAATATCCTTTTGATTGATTTTGGTTGTAGAATAGGAGGTAGTATTCGTATCGATATGGTTTCTTTGGAAGTAAAATTTTTACCCATTATTGAAATTGTTGTATTATGAAACTTGATAAGGTAAGTACTTCGTTATTAATGAAAACTTCACCTTTATACTGATTTAAGAATATTATCCCTTGGTCAATTTCTTCAATGGTCGGTATGTGTTGATTGTTGATAATGTTACAAGTGGAATTTTTGCTTTCAAATAAACGTTTTATGCAAACGGAGTTTTCTAAATTTACAATATTGTTTTTATTACAAATTGTTAAAGATCTTATTACATTACAATCTTCTGCGATACCATACATTTCTTTGTCATTAGTTAAAATTTGTTCAAATTCTAATTGATTTATTACATTTTGAATTTTTATTGGTTTGATTAAAATTTTGTTATAAGTTTCAATTTTTATTAATGGAATTTCTATAACATAAAGTAAGCAAGTACCATTTGTAATTATTTTTACTTAGGAAAAATCTAAAGCTTCTTCTGTTGTTGCAAAAGGGAGCTGTTCTGATTCTAATATTTTGGAGATAGTTTCGATTTCTATTTTTGAGATTAAAATTGAATTTATTATGCCTAATTTAGCCCAATGAATACCATATTTAATATTAATTATATCTTCTTTTAGAATTTTGTCTTTTATAGTTTCTAGAATTTGATTACTTATATTTGATAAAAGATTTAGCCTTTATTGTAAAGATTATTTATTATTGTCTGTCGATTATTGTTCTCTAGAATGTAATTAATTTTCTTTTTTATCATAACAAAATCGTCATGGTCGGGAGTATCAGCGAGCCATTTCCAAGTAGTACCTAAGAAATTTATTGCTCGTCTCTCACGTTTGGGTTTTATTTCATTCAAATATTCCTTTAACTGAGAAATTTCATGACTAAGATACGGATATAAGGGATGTTTTTCGGTGACATAAGTTTTTACTGCAAGATCAATTTCTTCTGTTGCTTGTTGTAATTCCTCCAGTTCCGTGATATGTATTATTCTGAAGCTTCCTTCTTGAATTTTGGCTTGTCCCATTTGAATTGCTATTATTTGCGAATTTTTGGAATCCAATATTTCCACATTTCCTAGGATAGCACATGGGAATATCAGTACAATGAATATAAAATTCATTATGGGAACGGCTGTCACTTCTCCTTTTAGAAAGAAATTTTCTGGATGGTGACTCCTTTTTGCTACTGTCCGCTACTAAGGGGCCTCGTTTCCTACTCCTTTTTAGCCAGCTGGAACAAGCTTCCACGTGTGTCG